AACCAAAGATTCTCGTTATGGAAAAAGATGGAGTTCAGATATAGTGGTCAGAAATCTTGGTTGATTGAACTATTGTCTCGAAAGAGATGTAGGCATAACGAAATTGAGTAAGCAAATCTCTACCATGAATTTACGGTATATTCCAAGCAAGATATCGAAATTGCTTGTCAATCGTGACTGTTTGCTGGATAAAATCTCGAAAGATTATTTAGCTCAAACAAATACGCCAAAATCAAATGCTGTATTTTTAGTGATATTATTGAGGAATCTAATTAAGAATCCGAAAGCTATGGAAAACCATGGTTAAGTACAATAGGCTAAAAAAACAGGCTAGGCTAGAATTGACATCATCCTACATGTTTTTGAGGAGCAGAGCGCCTTCCATGCGATTTTGTGAAATGTAATACTTGGAGTAATGATAAGAATTCTCAAACCCCCTTTGACTCGGTACTAGTAAAAATATTGGGTCTTTCATGTTATGACTATTATATCAGAGCATATCCTCCAGAGGTTACCTGGAAGATTGAGATCGAAAAGTTTATAATCATATAGATTTTTCATACTTTCAAGACATTTTTCCAACAATTTAAGTCAAAAATATATGAACTAAAAGAAGTAACTGTGATTTATCACGTTAAGATGCATGCGCAACAAATTTATTCGTCTCTTCTCATATTGTACAATGCAATTCTGCTCAAATGGTGTAGTAAAATTTTCTGCACCAATATGTGTTTCTTCAATAGACGCAGGGTAATAGATGGCGACGATTACAAGAAGTTCCTTGAAAGTCCAAACACTCCTTGGTTGTGATATTATATATCACAACCAAAGAGCGTTATTATATCAGTGTTTGAAGTGCAGTCAATTCTTCAGAGCAAATCAATATCATATCAGTACAGTGCTTGACTGGTGTGTGGCAAACGTTGTTGTTTGACATTTTACTGGCTTGACTTTCTTTTGTGAAGATCTTATAACCCAAAAGGTCGTTTTTATACAGTGCAAGGAAGCCACAGTGTAAAAGAAAAGTTGCATTAGTGCATGTTCCTAAACGCATATAAGTTGACCATGTACCAATTAAGACAGACAAACCAGCAAATGTTTCTCAGCATTAGATAAACAGTGCTTAGGCACTAATCAAAATGATTAGCAAATTACATCTCCTAGTTCGAATCGTTCAGCTATTGTGTTTGTCAAAGCAGCTCCAAACTGGATAGAAGGCAGCTGCTATGACAGAATACGCGTTTCGTTGCGATTTCTAAAAAAATCAAAATGTGTATAGCCTAATATTGAATCTAAACTTCGCTTGTTCTAGCTTGTCATCCAGTCTCACAAGGCACAGATCAGTAATCATCTCAGACGTCATCCTTGTTCCTTCTCCCCTTCTGATGACTGCCTCTTTTACTTCACATAAATATCGCACGATTTTCCTATAAATTCTTCGACTTCGCCAGTACTCCTATTTATTTGAGGACTCACAAGATCCTGATATTTTTCTCAATATTGTCTTTTCGTTTTTTTGCATGGAAAGAGCGGCAGAAAGATGAAGGTGGCCTTTGATAAGGGTCGCCCAAAAACTAGTACACAAGCTATAAATAATAGGAGTACACCAGCATGTTGTTTTGTTGTGTGGATTCAATCTTTTCTTTCAGTCGCACTTCACATTTTGTGTTCATGAAGCTCTTTCCAGTCGAAGATCAATGACCATTGGTGTACTTCGGGGCAGATTTTTTCTTCAGAATTCGAAGTTTATACTTGCAAACTATCTGAGCTTTTGCATGTTGGAGTTTCATACTGTATGCTGATGTCAAAGTTTATATTAGGTCGTTTCCAAAGTAATGTCGCTTTTTTCAAATGAACGTCACATTTCGTGGAACCAAGCTTTTCAAGAGTCTTGAGATCGGTCGATGTAGCATTTCGTCCTCTTTCTAAGAAAGAGGACGAAATGCTAAGTTGTAATCTCATTGCATAATATTCAATGAGCCCTCAGAAAATTGCCAAAAACTGCGACTCACGCTTTTTGTCAAGGTCAGGTTCGGCTATTTTTCTGCATTTTTGTACTGATTCCCCGAAGATGTACAAGTAACAGATAACTAGAGCATTCAAGACACAAAACAATTTTCTTCTTTTCCTTAGTTTGCTTCTTACAGTCTGTAGAATCAATTTTTTAGTGCTATCAAATACCATATTTGGTCAACTCAAACCTCACAGAACAATAACCGGCAAGCAACTCGGGTGTTATTCGACGCATCTTTTTCCCCTCTTTTTACCAGTTGTTTTTAATTTCCGATTTATGAAGTTTTCCGGGATAAAATCATCATAATTCAGGTTTCCCAGGGCGGTTGTACCCGAAATTTCCGAAAGTTGCTAATCTGAAGCGGTAAACGCTCATTTGCTTTATAAAATTGGTGTCAGCCCATAATCCACCTTTGTAAGTTCCAGAATCCGAATATTTATTAGTGTTTGACGCATTTGTATCTGAGACAAGCCTGCTAAAATTCGGTGACTTCATTGAAAAGCTCATTTCTCTTAAAAAAAAGTATGACGGGCTATGGAAAGTGGAAAAAATGCTGTTTCCTATAGGGGGTTTGCTCTTTCCACCTGTTACTTGGACTCCTTCGGAGGATTGTTGTAAATATTGAGAAAAATTGTGAACTTGACCTTCTCAAAAAGCATGGGTCGCAGATTTTGGTGATTTTTTTGAAACTTATCGAATATTTCGCAATGCTCATATAAACATTGAAAAGAGAATGAAATGCTGCATCGAATGTTACCAAGATCTTTTAGAAACTTTGTTTCCATGAAATGTAGCGTTTACTTGAAAAAAAGCGACATTACCTTTGGAACGACCTAATTTAATGTATCAAGGCCCGGGACAAAAAGAGCTTGCAGAAAGTTCTGGAAGCCGTGCTCAGCTGGTCAAAAGAATCGGGTCTCCCCATTTCCTAGAAATAGATTAGAGTACTGCACTTAGGATCTAATGACATTGATTTCTATTAGTCAGAATTGATAAAATATGTCGATAAGATGGCTGACCCGGGATTTTGTGGGCAATAAGCTCTCCTTTGACAAATATGTGAGAGAACTGCTGGAAAACACAGATTGCGGCACATAACCTTTACAGAGCTCTTACAGCTACCATGTAAATTCTTATTCGAGCATATAAGGCTTAAGATCGAGCGTTACTTGAATTTGGTAGTCATTTTCGATCCCTCCTTGAGCTACATGCCTACCGAACACAGGAGGTTCAAAAAGCTCACCAGAAAATTGCTGGTACTTATGCCGGGTTTGTGTACAATCAACCAAAAGGTAGTGCTTTTGTATAGCATACCTAGTGATCATTTGATTTGCGTCTGTATGGCTATTGTTAGCAATGATATTGCTGATTGTTTGCATAATGTTTGAACTGAACCAAAAAGAACATGCGCAGAGAGTGTGCTCGTTGTGCAAGCTATTATCACAGCGTTGGACTGGGTATCATGTCACATGATGTTGCCTGAAGAATTATCAATCAAGAATAAACTTCGCTTTCTATAGCAGAACTCAATAATCATCGCCTTTGTATTACTTATGCCACATTGAACAAGCCTTTGAGCAATAAGTCTGCTGCAAATTTACCTTGCTTTGCTGAGTAAAATATGTGCTAATAAATAAACAACAGATTGAGCGAGTTGCAAAATTTTGTAAAACTTCAGCTCAATATCATGTAAACGGTTTGCATTTGCTTCGAGCACTATTGAATATAATGAGTATCCGAAGTGACTTTCATAACTTGACCATGCTAAGAGATATGTGGAAGTTTGGTTGTTACACTTTCGCATTTTTCCCATACGACTTACTAGGGACTGCCAGAGATGAAGCTTGGTTATAATTAGATTTCACTTACTAAGTGAATAATGAACACTTATTTACGGATCTCGTGAGCCTAGAAATATTCGAAGAACGCCCTCCAAAGAAAGGATCTTAGGTGGGCGATGGGAAAGGCTGCGAAAGTGTGATAAGATGCATATCATTAGATGCGTCTTGTTAAGCTAATTTGAGTTCTTAAAAAATTGGTAGTGAAGTTTTATCATAGTTGCACTTCCATATGGGGTGAAAATTTTGATGATTGGGGTTACAATGCTCAAAGTGCTTCAAGATCAGCTTGATAGTGCATATTTTGCTTGGAGCAGAATGTACTGATTGCATGGAATGCACATATTTACCGGCAAATTATTGGGCGTCTTTGACAACCGATTTACGGGCGGTGCTAAATTTGTGCCATATGAGAGCTCAAGCACCTATAAGTTCTTTTAGAAAACCACAGGGTAGTTAATGAAGTGAGATTTGGCTTTAGCCCAACAAGATATGTACATATAAGGCATGCAGTCCTCCGTTCCGGATAGTGTGACTCAAGATTTTTCCTTAGTGAAGACGCTGCATTCCTGTCCGCAGAGCGTATGAGGAGCGGATCGTTCAGAGGTTTGCTCAGCATCAGGAACTCTTCACCAGAGGGATTTATCTGACTTCAGCAATTGTCTAAGTAGATATTGCCATGGGAGCCTCTAACTCACTGCAACTGCCGGCAACTGCAAGCACAACAACCTCCGCTACGGGCATGCTTACAGCTAGCTTTTTGATTGTGCCCTTACGAGCTATTTGAGCAGGCTTTACAAATGCGTGCAAAAAAGAGCTGTAGTAAAAAATGATGAACAACCACTGTTGTTACTGAAAAATCTGAAAACTAGCCATTCTTGAAAGCACTCTTGTAAACGTCGAAAAATAGGCTAAGAGCTGTAGAGTGACGAAGCTGAAGTTTGGACATTTTGCGTCTTTTGTTGATACCATTTTTGAGTCATCTACTTTTAAAACATATCTTCCAATCCTCCGACCACTCCTCAGTCAAATAAGATTCAGAGACAAAAAAAAACTCAAGTTTTTATTCTTTACATTTTTTTACACAATCTTCCAGGGAGCCCTCAAGTCCGCTGGTTTCATGCTTGCCATTGAATGTGATTGTCCTGCTAGATTTTCGTCACGAATACTGTAGTCACTTTTGCATCCTTCAAAGGGCTTACGCGCTTCCGTATTGACGTGATAACGCAAAAAGTAGTCACTACATCGGTGCATGGAACCCACAATATGGACGTAAAGAGGAACAATCCCATGTGCTTGTCCACCTGAAATGGTAATTAGATTGGAATGTAGAGTAGTTCTAAGAGTCGCTATGGATCAAAATGCGTCTAGATATGCTAGCTTGCGAATGAAACGTATTTACCACCAAAACATTTGTACCAACATGCTGACTAGCAGTAGCGAGAATCAACCATTTTTTCGGAGCTCATTCTCAAGAGCAAAACCGCGAAAAAATTTTTAAGTGCATGTGACAATAAAATTTCCACGATGCTATCAGATCGCTCTGAAATGCGCCGCTTCTTCATTTATTTTCAAACCTCGTAAAATAAAGACAGCATGCACTCTTCTAATAATTGATGTTGCAAAGTTTCAATGAGCGTCAAATAAATCGCAAAATTTGCATCCATCGTTTCTACCTTAGCAACTCGCAAGATTTCCAGCTCCTCATAACCCATTTTGCTGACATTTGGTTTTATGATGTAGAGCAGGTTTCAGACCAGATTTACAGCATGGTAAGAACGATCAGTAATTTTATACTGTAGGATTGTAGCAACCTGCAGTTTAAGGTGCCTTCATATAGCGCTAGAACCGCCGCTAGCAGCCCGTAAAGCAGCCTTTGAAGGCAGTAGGTCGGCAGAATGAGACCCGTGGCAAAACAAGGTCACAGGGTAGGAGCCCCATAATGGAACCTATGGGCCAAGGTTTGATCTTTCTCTGCCACTTCTAGCTCCCGAAATTTCAAAGCGAAAGTAGCGCTCATCTCCTGTCCTCTCCGAACCCGCCCACCCCATGGACGAGTGACTTCCGCGGTCAGAGCGCCAGCCGCAATGCTATAAGCATGAGGTCCCGCAACGACTCTGCGTCTTCGCCATGACGGGCTTCGCGTAGGCTCCTACCCTGTGACCTTGTTCTGCCACGGGTCTCATTCTGCCGACCTACTGCCTTTAAGCGCTAGTCGCTTTGGTGTAACCTCACATCAGCTGACCCAAGTAGTGGAAAAAGTGCAGATGCTAAATTCCGTCTAGGAGCTTATTTGGGATGCACATGACGAATATAACATTTATCGCACGATAGCGTGATCCGGTGGAGCTAATATGTTGTTGAGGTAAGGGTTCAAAGTCACGACCTTGCCTGAAACTTTTTTTGGAGAGTGAGGAGCTGCAGAGCGGTGTTGGCACGCCAAACATAACATAGTAATATCGCACGGCAGCACCCTTTTCTCACGTTATACAACTCATATCGATCAAGTTTGGCTGCTCAAAACTTTGCTCAAAGGGGTTATTCATCATTTTGATTACCAGCATTTTGAGACGTTTTCGAAGAAGTGTGGTAGGCGATGGAAACCGTGGATCTCCCTTAAATCTGCGCAGGGTTATCGACGAGCTGATGATGAAGATTGCGCTCATTTGGCATGATAAGGCCTTATTGTGAACTATCAGAAACTAAGTGGCCTAAAATGCACAACAATGGTCTGTCTACACTGTGCTTAGCGTGCCTCCCCCATTCTAGACGAAGTTTTAGCAAAACACATGATCTCATTCCTGGTACCACCTGATACGGGATAGCGCCGAAGCGGCTAGGGGGGCCTTTCGTTTTTCATATAAAGGAAGTTGTCACATTCAAGCCATTTTTCAACACTAAAATTACTTTGTTTGTAAACTTTCCAGCGAGTGCAAAATTAAGCATAGTCAGTGAGAAGGACACGCGAATCAGATTACGGATCTTGTTATGGATAGCCAACCAGAACATTTTAAAAGCTCAAAATGATGGCAAATTGGGTTTTCTCTAAATAAGCTTGTTGAAACTTATATAACTCAAGCGAAACATTTTGTTAAAATCAATGATGTAAACTGACTGTGTTTCGTATATGAATCTTTGAGGAAGCTTGTGCAAAGTTGGAGTGTTAGCGGAATTATAGTTTTGATAAGCCTTAGGCCTAAGGAGTATTTTCAAGAACACATTCATGCAAAAAATTTCATCTTTATACTTCACAATGAAAAAGCCGCTTTGTTTGCGCTTATTTTTATAGAGTCTATAAGTACCTCTCCTATATTGCAATCGAAAACGAAAGAGCCCCCAAGAGCTGATAGAAGACAACCACCGTGGACCAAGATGCTCATTTCTTTGCGGTTTCTGCAATATTCATTGAGTAATAAGATTTCCTGTGCTAAGCTACTCGAGAAATAAGAGATAGACACAACCGCCTTTATCAAAGTCCAATGGCAATCTTAGAAACATACGCTTTCTTTCGTACTATCCAAAACATGTACATGTAGGTGAAAAAGGATATTGCAAGCGCAGAAGCCCGAAAAATAATTTTGATAATCGAGATAACCTGAAACTGAGCTTGGATTTTTTTGTAGATTATGATAGGTCTTACCCGGTCATAATCTGCTCTGGTAGCGCTTAAGAAAATTGGAATACTCCCAAGCTCATAGCGGTGCTCATAGATGCAGTATAGTGGAATCACCATCAAGGTAGGAAGAGAAATCTGGAGTGTAAATATCTCCCAGCTTGTCATTTGTTCGGCAATCTGCAAGTATTTATTTCTATTAGTGTATGAATCTTCGAAATCACAAAATGAGTGTTGATGAGATTATTCAAAAGAAAAAAAAGCACCTACAAAATTGTTTAAGTCTAATTTACCTTGTTTTGATATATCATAAAAGGCTGTAAATTTTTGCTTTCCGTAAACATACCGTGTGGAAGACCATGTGTAACGTAAAAAGTGTAAATATTGTTCAAAGATCAACTTTACTACATTCAAAGGCGCTGAATTGATTGACGAAAATATGTGGTAAAGAGCTTGAATTATTATACTTCAAAAAAATGTTTAGGCATTATTAGGATAAACTTGCGGCACTCGCATGATATTGAAAGCAAAATTAGTGTACAGGTTGTCCCAAAAGTGTGTATACACTGTTTAATCGTTAATATCTCTTTTTCCAAGAAGTCTTTTGCCTACCTTCAGGTATTATTTTGTAGAGCTGGCTTCAACTTAGATTTACAGTATGACCAAATCACCGAACGCTCTTCATTACTGTAGGATTATGGTAGAAACTTCAAGAAGGGTTTTGAACCGTTAAGGGCACAAATTTGCTTTGAAAGCAAACCAAAGAACCTAGAAACTTTCACATTAGGCTAATTAGAGTCGGCAAAACCAAAAGTGAACTTTGCATTTTACCGCAAGGGTTCCTTCGTAAATTATGCCAGGTGAACCGCAATAGCTATCTTTACTGAGCTCCTTAAAATTGCAGTCACACCATTTGAAAAGCTTTACAAACTCTTAAAAAGTTCAGTAATAAAATTAGAGGGCGCGTAAAATCCCTAATACGCCACTTTTCAGAATTTTTGTAAACTTTTTTGAGACACGATTAATCCACAATGACGCTGTAAGCCAAAAGTTCCCACAGTAGTCCTACAGTAATGAGGGGCGATCGATGGTCCGCTCAATATATAAATTTAAGTTGAAGCTAGTTCTACAAAATTGTACCTGGTAGGCAAAAGACTTCTTGGGAAGAGAGAAATTAACGATCAAACAGTGTATACATACTTTTGGAACACCCTGTATGAAGCAATCTCTTTCAGACGCGGCACAACAAGAACAAGTAGGCTTACGACGACAGAGCGAATCCCGAACCTAACCCGAGCTCGTTACCATTTCGCAGTGATTAAACAGCATACCGGCTACCCACTGAAAACAGCCAAAGCTGGCGGACTTAGCGCATAACTTACAGATATTAGGTTGGCACATAAGTTTTGCAACCAATTTTGTAGCTCTTCTTTTTTCGAATGTGGCAGTAGGCTACAGATGTGCGCAAACAGTTCGGTTTTTGGTAACGAAGTAAAAAATTCTCGCATTATCGAAAGTAGGTCAGACTCGGGCTTTCAAGTGTGGGTAAACCAAAAATAAAGCCGCTCTTAGGTCCGTCGTAGAAACCCTCGTAGCGCAACTCAGCTGGAGGCGGGTCTACGTTGAACGTAGAATGACTCAGTCCCATAGGTGCGATAAGGTGAGAGTGACTCCTCCACAGTGAAGGAGGTCACAGTGGTCGCAGCTCCTCCAGGGTTAAGGACGTTCCACTTGTTAGAGGAATTACAAAAGTCGACCGGGGAGGGAGAGCCTTAGTGTTCTCTCATCATTTTTCCTAGTCAAAGTTTATAATTTTTAATTTCTTCCCATCACTGGTTGTCTTTTTTCTGAAATGTGAACCGATGTGCTGCTGGATTAGCACACAATTATATTTCTGACCAGCACCTTGTATTTTTTGCATTTCCTTTTTCCTTTTTTACATCACCTTGCCTGTTTTTGAAATACCACAGAGATGTGCATGCGAGAAGATTTGTTTCGGAAAGAGTTAGACAATTTCTAAGTATTTACGAATTTTTAAAAGAAGAATTTCGTAATTTCTGTAGATGAACAACAACGTCAGCAAGGAAAATGTTTTTGAAACCACCTTTTCCTCCGCTTTTAGAGCATATGTACTTTCCTGGAGTCTGTTGAAAAAAGTGCCTGGTGAAGGGTGTAGATGAAGATTTTTGGATATTTGCAAGTTTTCAGGATAAAAAATCCGTAACTTCTGTAGATAAAGAGATAGTACATGGAGATGGTCATTATTGAAACCGCCTCGTTTTCCGCTTTCAAAAAACATATACATCGCCTGGGATTCATTAAAAAAAGTGCCTGGGTGAAGGGTGTGCGTGTGCCTAGTGATTTTTGGGGATTTTCGAGTTTTTAAAATAAAAAAAAATCATAACTTTCGTAGATGAACATCCATACGCCAGGATAGTCACCGATATAACCGCCTCGTCCTCCGCTTTCAGAAAATATCTACCTTGCCTAGGGTCCGTTAAAAAAATGCGGGGTGAAGGGTGGGTGAGACTTTTATAATGGGAGTGCTCAAGTAGAGTTTTTTTACCATTGTAAAAAGACGTCCACTTGAGCATCTCACCCCTTCACCCGGCACTTTTTGTAATATACCCTAGGCAAAGTATATATTTTTTGAAAGCGGAGGACGAGACGGTTCCAATGGTAGGCATCAAGGCGTAAAAGATGTTCGTCTCCAAAAGTTATGATTTTTTTATGCTAAAAGCTCGAAAATCTTCAGAAGTCACTAGGATACCCTTCACCCAGGCCTTTTTGAACGGACCCCAGGCAAAGTATATATTTTCTGAAAGCGGAGGACGAGGCGGTTTTAACGGTGGCCATCTCCATGTACTGTCTGTTTATCCTTAAAAGCTACGGATTTTTTATCCTAAAAACTCGAAAATGTTCAGAAAACAAAGACACCCTTCAACCGGGCACTTTCTTGAACAAATCTCAGTCATGCAATATATTTTTTAAAAGCGAAGGGCGAGGCAGTTTTGAAGGTGACTACTTCCTTGTGCCAGCTATTCGTCCACAGAATAAATAATTTTTTATGTTGAAAATTCGCAAATGTTCAGAAATCACTAAGCACATCTTTCATTATGTACTTCTATGAATGGACTCTAGGCAAACAATTTATTTCCTGAAACCAGATGGGAACGTTGTGGGAATTTTCCTCGCTGACTTGCTGTGCAGCTACAGAAGCTACTATTTTTTTTCCTCCTGGAAGTACATGAATGCCTATAAATCTTCTTCCTCCTTTCCGATGCAAAAAAATTCCCGTACAAATATCTGCTTTGCTTAACCTTACCTCACTGTTGATTTTTTCTCGGCTTTTGGTGAAAAAGGTCACCTTGGCCCCGGCTCAGGGGTGAAGAGGGGTGAGCAAATTCTCGCACTATCGCACCTATGCTCAGTCCGGCATCCGGTGAGCCATCGATCCGGATTCGGATCGCTTTTTAGATCTAGAGATCTTGTGCGTTCTCAAAAACCATACCCCTTGAGCGGTTCGGTAGAACGGCTAAGTGTATGGGTTTCAACGCAAGAGTCCATGGTTCAAACCCGTCCAGTGGCGAATTTCTGCGCCATCGCAGGACAATCTTTGATAGCGGCCGTTATCGAGAAAAATCGATGGCGACTGCTATTAAGGATATCGCCAAGCAAACAAATAGATAGAACAAAACTATCCTATCTTGACAAGGATATCACGAACAAACGAAAATGTTGGAACATAAAGCAAATGAAACAAATCAAGAAATCCTTGTGCAAAGCAGTTTTCGGAAGAGGAAGGTAAGCAAGCAAAAAGAAAAATCCTGCTTTTTTTGCTTTTCTCGCCGCAATCAGCTGTTCATTGATCCTCTCCCATTGAGGCCGCCGAAATTGTGCAATTTTGAGAATTTTGCACCGCAGAAGTACGTATACTGAATTTCCCCATAAGCTACTCACGAGCAACTTACGGGAAATTTGTCTGATTCTCTTCTTTTGCACACTAACTCTCTCGGGTCATCTGAAAATTAAACCTCGGATAAGTGGCATCCTAGTGAAGTGACTGTGACACTTGACCGGACAGTTCTTCTAACTGTTGAACTGACTATTTTAAAGCACGGGAAGTTGGGCGAGATTAGGTTCACCCGAGAAAGTTCCTCTGAATGAATAATCTCAAGTCACCTGAGATGAGTGGAGGCTTACTACGGGCCTTAGTCTGAATCAAACGCATCAAGCCGAAACCGTAAAGATCAACAGGATTCCTCTTTTAACAATCTGGATACAATTTCGACCTGATGTGCTTGATTCAGACTAAAAACGGCTTTACTTTTGGTTTTCCGACCTTTGAAATTTCGAATTTGACAAACTTTCGAAAAATGCAGAAATTTTTCCCCACTTCGCTACCAAAATCAAACTGTTTGCGCTTAATTGTAGGTTACTATCAGTCTACATTATGCTCAATAATGAATGCGTCACATTCAAAAAGAGATAAGTTACAGAAGTAGTTGCAAATTATGTGCCAAGCTATTATCTCAACAGGACTTGCAGGCCCACGCGGCATCGAACCTTTGGCGTGATGACCGCCACAGCGAGCATAGCCACTGTGCAACATCGAATGATTCGATTGACGTCATTTGCAACAAATGAGTGCAAAACAATCCTCTGATAACTGCAAGCAATGTACAACACGTGCTTATTCCTATTAAACGCAACATATTAGCCGCGATATATGGCACGTCTAAGAACACGCTAGGTCGAACTAGATTCGCAAGCTGCGTTAACGCAATTCGACAGAAGTAATGAAAGATAGCCAGCAAATCGGTCAGCAATGGTGTGCGGAATGAAATTGAGCTGAGATTAGGATACAAACTTTACGTCATCTCCAAGGAAGTAATTCTAAGGGCCTAGAAGTCTAAGTGAAGAAAGAACGAATGCCACCAAAAAAAAATCTATGTTCATTTGTTGTGGATAACGTAAAGCTGCATTATAATCAACAAGCAAAAGTGGCACCCCTTACCTAATAAAATTTTTATTTGTATCAAGTATAGTTTTTAGAGTATACATGTTACACTTTTATTAGGAATAATTGGACTTGTGCTGAACCAGTGAACTACTGAAAC